GACTCTTGACCTCTTACTTTGTGGTTGCTTTGGATGTTTCTGATTGATCAATCATAGCTGATACACTTTAGATAATGTTGAAAGCAAAAAGACAAACACCTTAATTGTCCAGATCCTGTGTAAAATAGTGACAGTGACGTCAGTCATTGCTTTGTGGATTCCCATTTTGAAGCCTCGAGTCTGGTAGTTTCGCCGTCCCCATCATGGGTTTTTGGAGCCAGAAGTGACCATATATGGACAGTAGGATTAAGCTTGCTGCAAATTTGCATTCCTAGGTTGGCAAAAGGAGGCAAAAGGATGGCACTATTCTCCCTCAGATTGGCAAGTACTCGTTGGCTTCATTGGTTGGGTTGGTAAGGTGGAGGCAAAAGAAGTGGATTGATTCAGGTCAGGGAAGCCAATCACAGGCAGGGTAAGGCAGAATGGGGCAGGTCGTGCCTTGGCTATCCTAGGAAATGCAAATTCACTACCGTAACGCTAGGTGCTGTATTTACAACTATGGTTAACTGTGATGATGCTAATGCTAATTTTTCTAACAAAACACAGGCTTAAAGCCTTTAGACAAATTTTACTTACCTGAAAAACTGAACACTTGACCTTAGATGTTTTTTAAGTACAGCCAAACGCTGAACAAGATTTTTTTTTTAGATGAACAAAACAGTAATAAAGGTAATTTTTAAGAACTGAAAACATACTGAAATAGTGACAGCTATGGCTACACCTTGTTAATCTGGGATTACGCCATGGTTACATGACCAAATCAAAGTTGTCAAAGGACGACAACCACCGGTCACTCGAAGCAGCTGCTCACTTAATTATGCCCAAATTTAAGCCATGAAAATTTTTAAATGGCAGTGTATCATACTGCTCCAAACAGTGGCTTTTGACTTCAGGTGTCCAACACTGACATAGCAGCAGTATCTGATGACTTTGGAATGAAAACGGGTGGATCTGACTGAGAAGCCGAGGACATTATCTGCAGACAGCCTGTCACTCAAAGCGGCCCGCCGTTAATTATGTGTAACTTAAAGCCTTAATAAAATATAACCAGGTGAGTTATTTAACAATTCACCCTCTGTACAGATGTAGAGAATGATGAAATTAGCAGGACTGACTCGCTCTTGGAGCCGACCTCAAATGGACATTACAGGAAACAGTTATCTGTGCCATGTTTTTGAGGTTGCAGTTTGGGTTCCACTGATGGGGAAAGTTGTTATGAAAACATCTTGGACGAATAACAGTTCCTCTGGAGATGTAACATGGATATAAACCTCAGGTATTTGATTGTCTGGGATGCAGCGATGTAAAGAATAGACCGATACCATTTATGGTGAGAAGAGGTGTTATTGTGTGCCTGTGTGTAAGTCATGTAAATCTCTCCTTAGACGCAACATTCCCAGTGTGCACTGAGAGCAGGATCAAAGGCTGTCTGTGGGCTCTGTGGGCTTTACGGGCTGTGTGTGTGTGTGTGTGTGTGTGTGTGTGTGTGTGTTCAGGTGTTACATTTTTTCTCATGCTGTGGTTGTGAAGTAGGAAAAGCCGCTGAGGTGCCAAAACATTTCCGGAGTCCTGTGGCTGAGACTTTGAATAGATGATGTAACTTCCATCCCAGGACTGAGAGTTTTCCACACTTTGTCCTATTGTTCCTCAGTAAATGACGAGTCGTCAGGATGCCAGTGAAAACCAACACGTTGATTCAGAGTCAAAATATTCAACAAATACTGAATAAAATCTGGTTGAATTATTTGTGGTTCCTACAGGCTGAATCAGGATGACTTTGGTCATCCTCTAAAGGTCAGATTTTTCATTTGCTCATGATAAGATACCTCAACAACACTGAGAGTAATAGTCCTTTCATCCATCCATCCATTTTCAACCTCTTATCTGAGGTCAGGTCTCTCTCGTCCCTCTCCTCAGTAACACTTTCCAGCTCCTCCTGGAGGATCCAGAGGTGTTCCTAGACCAGACGAGATATATAATCCCTCCAGCATGTTCTTGGTCTGCCCTGGGGCCTCCTACCAGTTGGATGTGTCCAAAACACCTCTAACAGGAGGCACCCAGGAGGATCCTGATCAGATGCCCAGACCACCTCAACTGGTCCCTTCCAACGCAATTTAGCAGCGGCTCTACTCTGAGCTCCCTCCAGATGTCTGACTCCTCCCCCTATCTCTTAGGCTGAGCCCAGACACCCTACAGAGGAAACTCATTTCACACGCTTGTATCAGCGATCTCATTCTTGCAGTCACTACCCAGAGCTCATGACCATAGGTGAGGGGTGGGATGTAGATGGACCAGTAAATCCATTCGCCTTCTGGCTCAGCTCCCTCTTCACTACGACAGTCCGGCACAGCGCCAGCATCACTGCAGACGCTGCTTCAAACAGCTGATCCATCTCATGCTCCATTCTACCGTCACATTACTCTTCCTTCAGTGAGGGTGAGGGTAGAGTAATAGTAAGCTCTGCTAATAACTCTGTGAGGCTGTAGTAAAGGCACAGCATTGCTGTCAGCTAAATACAAACATCAGCATGCTAACATACTTACAGTGAAAATGCTAACATGCTAATGTATAACAGGTGTAGTGTTTACCAAGTTCACCATCTTGGTTTAGTGTGTTAGCATGCTAACGTTGGCTAATAATCAGTAAACAAAGTTCAGCTGAGGCTGATGAACTTCTAAGTTCTGTAGGTATTTTGTCATAAACCAAAGTACTGGATACATGAAAATGTTGACCTGATGATGTCAGAAATGTCAGAGGGTCATTAAAGTTATATAGTAATTATGATAATGAAAGAATCATAACTTTTACTCATGGAGCACTTTTCAAAATCCGTGTTATAAAGTGCTTAAGAAGGCAGCAAAATAGAACAGAAGAGACATAAAATCACAGCTCAGTCTCCAGAAGAACATGTTGGTACTGTGCGTACATTTGTATGTTTCATATGTTTCTAAAGTGACGTAGTATATGAGATGACTTTGTTCATTATTGTGGTGTGCTGCTCAAAACCTAAATTCCTGTTAGGCCAGGTGCCAGGATTCCTGGAAACAGACTCAATATGACCCAAAGGCAGAATTTGTTTTGCCATGTGCTGTCTTGTTTGAGTTCAGCTAAACAAATTTTTCTGGCATTCAGCTTTTGACCTCACAAACTCAGTCCTTAAGTGAACTCATCATTCCAGGATCTGGCAGTCCAAGAGGCAGGTGCGGACCGTCAGTGTAAAAATGAAAAGAGACACCAGGTCTATGAATAATGTGCCCGAGGAGGAGCGTGCGTAAGAAAATCAAAACTGGTCCCAAAGCTGAGCCCTGGGGCACACCATGCCAAGACACAGAGACTCCAGTTTGACAGATCAGATGAAAACCATTCGAGGGCTGTACCAGATATCCCCACCCAGGGACTCTGTCCAACAGGATGCTGCGAGCGATTGTGTCAAAGGCTGTGCTAAAGTCCAGGAACATGCCATCACCAGCAGCCATGTAAAGGTCATTAGTAACCTTAAACAGGGCGCTCTTAATTGATTCCTATTTATCCCGAGGGGAACTTGAACGTCTGAATCACATCTGAAGGTAGTTCATCTAATAGTTGTTGAGATGTTTCTGGAACAGAGTGGTGAACCGACCGACAATGCCGTCCAAAGATCTGTGATACTAGCAAGGATAGACTAATCACACAAATCATCACAGCAAGTAGCATGCTAGCTAAGTGCTAACACAGCCAACTAACAAATAAAATATTATAATGCAAATGTTAATTGGCTACAAGTTGCCATGTTTTTCAGGAAATTTAGTAGGTTTCCATATTTTTTACAAGAGTTTGTCTTGCTTCAGGATGTGTATGGGCTGCATGGAGTCATGTGACCTGCAGTTCCAACCATGGCCACTATGCTGAAATAGCTGGACCACACAACATCGTCCCAGGAGCTCAGCAGAGTAGTGTGGAGTAGAGAACGATGCTACAGATGTAGGTTTTAATAATGGATTTCTTTCTTCATGCCTAAAGGGCCCTCTGGTAGAGCTCTACATGGCCCAACAGCAGTGTGAATTGTGTTTTTCAAAGGAAGTCTTTGAGAGCAGTTTTTGGTACCTTAATAACATTTGTAAGAAAACTACGAACACTGGTGATGAAAACTAAATTCAAGAATTAACTTTCAAGATTATGCTGTTCTTTATAAGCATGTGATCCAAGCAGGGACTGCTCAAAATATCACTTTAATCAGCCGAGTCATTAGAAGAAAATGTTGGCATTGTACGTCGAGTACCATGAACACATCACATGTATATGTTTCATGCCTATCAAAACAGCATTCCCAATGAGATGTAGGACATGATCTGACTTTGTCATCTGAAGGTGGAGGGAATGGTGATAGCCATTAAAAGTTGGTGTTTTTAGTGACCCATCACTGCGTGTCCTGCCAGGATAGTGCCACGAGAAGCAGTTGTTTTTTACCAGGACACCATTGTGTTTTGAGCCAGAAAAGTACCACAAAAAGCAGTGGTTTTTTTATTGGCGACTCGCTGTGTTTCCTGCTGGGCGAGTGCCACAAATAGCAGTTGTTGGGATTTTTTTTACCAAGACATCATTGTGTTTTGAGCTGAGATAGTACCACAAAAAGCGGTTGTTTTTTACCAAGACATTACTGTGTTCCCGGTTGGAATAGTGCCATGAAAATTGGTCCTTTTTCCATAGAGGCTTGCAGGCTTCTCCAGCCATAATTGTGCCCCAAACACTGGGAATTTTTGGCCAAAACAGGATCTTTTCCATGCCATAACCAAGTGATTTTTGTTCCTATGTCTTCCTATGTTTAACCACAGTTTTGTTGAACCTGAAGTTTCAACATATCCACTAAATGATATCAACTGTAAAGTATCCGTGGTTTGCAGAAACTCTCAAATGCTCCGTCAGTGTAAACATTATGACATAACAGAAATAGAATCAATAGATAGTAATTTACACTCAAGCAATAAAGTTTCTAACCACCCTCTTCCACTTGTTCTTTCCAGCCTCTACCTTCTCTGTCATTAGCCCCACAGTGGAGGAAGGCCCCCTGGTGCAGCTCCCCCACACAGCCCACCGGCGAGAGAAACGCTGCTCCTGCGAGAACCAGAAAGACAAAGAGTGTATTTTTTTTTGCCACATCGGTATCGTCTGGGTCAACACGCCCAGGTGAGTTTGTTTTCACAGCAATTGAACACCACAGCGCTGTGATGAATTTAACCCAGTTAAGCTATGATAATAAAACAAACCAAAGATAAGAAGCGATCAGTAAATCAGCCTGAAGCCTCAGAGGGATGATTTCACTGCAGCAGTAGCTGATGGGTTTTCTGATAGAGGACGGGAGGCACTCACGTGTAGAGATAAATGTTCACTTTATAACAAAATCAATCATCAGTACTTAAAACACAGTTCATATTATCCACATTCTCCAGGATATACAGTACACATTGTATTCAGATGATTTACAGACAGAAAGATCAACAGGATTTTTTTAAAACACCGGCATAAAGATGTATCACTGTCAAAAATGACTGTGGATATACACTGAACAAAAATTTAAACCCAACACTTTTGTTTTTGTTCCCATTTTTCACAAGTTTTAGTTAAAAGGTCTGACTTGTGTATGCACTTCAACTTTTCCAAGATGATCCATCCACCTTACAGGTGTGGCTGCGCATGCACATATATGTATATATATATATGTATGTATGTATGTATATGTATATGTATGTGTGTGTGTATATACAGTACAGGCCAAAAGTTTGGACACACCTTCTCATTCAATGCGTTTTCTTTATTTTCATGACTATTTACATTGTAGATTCTCACTGAAGGCATCAAAACTATGAATGAACACATGTGGAGTTATGTACTTAACAAAAAAAGGTGAAATAACTGAAAACATGTTTTATATTCTAGTTTCTTCAAAATAGCCACCCTTTGCTCTGATTACTGCTTTGCACACTCTTGGCATTCTCTCCATGAGCTTCAAGAGGTAGTCACCTGAAATGGTTTCCACTTCACAGGTGTGCCTTATCAGGGTTAATTAGTGGAATTTCTTGCTTTATCAATGGGGTTGGGACCATCAGTTGTGTTGTGCAGAAGTCAGGTTAACACACAGTCAACAGCCCTATTGGACAACTGTTAAAATTCATATTATGGCAAGAACCAATCAGCTAACTAAAGAAAAACGAGTGGCCATCATTACTTTAAGAAATGAAGGTCAGTCAGTCCAGAAAATTGCAAAAACTTTAAATGTGTCCCCAAGTGGAGTCGCAAAAACCATCAAGCGCTACAACGAAACTGGCACACATGAGGACTGACCCAGGAAAGGAAGACCAAGAGTCACCTCTGCTTCTGAGGATAAGTTCATCCGAGTCACCAGCCTCAGAAATAGCAAGTTAACAGCAGCTCAGCTCAGAGACCAGATGAATGCCACACAGAGTTCTAGCAGCAGACCCATCTCTAGAACAACTGTTAAGAGGAGACTGCGCGAATCAGGCCTTCATGGTCAAATAGCTGCTAGGAAACCACTGCTAAGGAGAGGCAACAAGCAGAAGAGATTTGTTTGGGCCAAGAAACACAAGGAATGGACATTAGACCAGTGGAAATCTGTGCTTTGGTCTGATGAGTCCAAATTTGAGATCTTTGGTTCCAACCGCCGTGTCTTTGTGAGACGCAGAAAAGGTGAACGGATGGATTCCACATGCCTGGTTCCCACTGTGAAGCATGGAGGAGGAGGTGTGATGGTGTGGGGGTGTTTTGCTGGTGACACTGTTGGGGATTTATTCAAAATTGAAGGCACACTGAACCAGCATGGCTACCACAGCATCCTGCAGCGACATGCCATCCCATCCGGTTTGCGTTTAGTTGGACGATCATTTATTTTTCAACAGGACAGTGACCCCAAACACACCTCCAGGCTGTGTAAGGGCTATTTGACCAAGAAGGAGAGTGATGGAGTGCTGCGGCAGATGATCTGGCCTCCACAGTCACCGGACCTGAACCCAATCGAGATGGTTTGGGGTGAGCTGGACCGCAGAGTGAAGGCAAAGGGGCCAACAAGTGCTAAACACCTCTGAGAACTCCTTCAAGACTGTTGGAAAACCATTTCAGGTGACCACCTCTTGAAGCTCATGGAGAGAATGCCAAGAGTGTGCAAAGCAGTAATCAGAGCAAAGGGTGGCTATTTTGAAGAAACTAGAATATAAAACATGTTTTCAGTTATTTCACCTTTTTTTGTTAAGTACATAACTCCACATGTGTTCATTCATAGTTTTGATGCCTTCAGTGAGAATCTACAATGTAAATAGTCATGAAAATAAAGAAAACGCATTGAATGAGAAGGTGTGTCCAAACTTTTGGCCTGTACTGTATATATATATATATATATATATATATGTGTGTGTGTGTGTGTGTGTATGTATATATACAGTGTCATGCAAAAGTTTGGCCACCCCAAGACATTTGAGCTCTCAGACAACTTTTCCCAGGGTCTCAGACCTTAATGAGTTTGTCAGGGCTCTGGTTCGTTCACAGTCATCATTAGGAAAGGCCAGGTGATGCAAATTCCAAAACTTTATAAATACTCTGACTCCTGAAACCTTGTCCCAACAATCAGCAGCTATGGGCTCCTCTAAACAGCTCCCTAGCACTCTGAAAACTAAAAGACCTGATGAAGACTATAAGAAGATAGCAAAGTGTTTTCAAGGAGCTGTTTCCTCAGTTCGTCATGTCATTAAGAAATGGCAGTTAACTGGAACTGTGGAGGTCAAGTTCAAGTCTGAAAGTCCAAGAAAACTTTCTGAGAGAGCTGCTCATAGAAAGGCAAATTAAAACCCCCATTTGACTGCAAAAGACCTGCAGGAAGATTTATCAGACTCTGGAGTGATGGTGCACTGTTCTACTGTGCAGACACAGCTGGACAAATATGACCTTCATGGAAGAGCCATCAGAAGAAAACCTTTCCTTTGTCCTCACCACAAAATTCAGCCTCAGAGGTTTGCAAAGGAACATTGAAACAAGCCTGATGCTTTTTGGAAACAGGTCCTGTGGATTGATGAAGTTAAAACAGAACTTTCTGGACACAATGACCAAACTGTTAAACATGGGGGTGGATAGATAATGCTTTGGCTTGTGAAGCAGCCAGTGGCACGAAGATGAGGAGAAGATGGCTTCTACAACAGGACAGTGATCCTAAACACACCTCCAAATCCACGATGGACGACCTTGAGATGAGCCAGCTGAAGGTTTTGCCATGGCCCTCACAGTCCCCCGACCTTAACATCATTAAAAATCTGTGGCTAGACCTCAGAGAGCAGTGCATGAAGACGGCCCAAGAATCTCGCAGAGCTAGATGCCTTTTGCAGGAAGAATGGTTGAAAATCCTCCAAACAAGAACTGGAAGACTCTGAACTGGATACAAAAAGTGTTTAGAAACTGTGATACTTGCTAAAGAGGGTGCTACTGAGCACTGACCATGCAGGGTGCCCAAGCTTTTGCTTCAGGCACTTTTCCTTTTTTGTTATTTTGAAACTGCAAAAGATTGGAATTTAAAAGTAATCTTGTGTAAAATATTTAACATCATGTCATCTGGAGATCAGTTCATCTTCTACCTACGTAACTACTCATAGTAAATAGATAGATAGGTGGCTAGATGGATGTCCCCATTCACGCCATGACTTTTAAACTTTAAGAACCATAATATGTCATTGTTTTAAAAGAAGATTGAATCCAATTGAGCCATACAGTGAGGCAGACACATCACCTTTGGTTTCTTTATATTTGGTCTCTAAGACATAAAATAAAAACACACAGTTGGTCTCACAGTGTGCACGTCTCCTCTAAATTACAGTTTGAAGAGCATGTTGTGAACACAGAACACTCGAGGCAACACGTCAAACCACCCTGAATTATACACTGCTCCCCTTCAGCTGTGATTTATGTTCAACATAATGTAAAACAGGAGCCATCAGAGCAAGAAGCTGTGAAACAAGATGTCAGAATGAGACTGATGTAACACCACAAAGACGTCTGCTGGTCACCGTTTCATTTAAACATAGGTATTAATGCATGAAACATTAACTCCTTCACTTCCAAACATGTATTCTGAAACTCATCATGTCAGGAAGATGGACAAACTAGTTAATATCTGTTAACACCTGCCTCATCCTGCAGCATCTACATTTCAAACCCAAGTTTGTCTCATTTAAAGGATCTTATTGTTTGAATGTGGCAAAACTTCACCTGTTAACAAAGTGTCTGGAGGACGGAGGCAATCTTCAGGTCAAAACATTCCTAGTGTTGGACAGCATTCTTGTCAAACTTCATCAGGATAAAAACAAAATATTTACGTTTCAAACATCAAGATGAGTTTTAGGATCCTTGATGATTCCATGATGCGTCCTCTTTAAACCATCTGGAGGCCGTCTGTTCTCCACAGTTTCATATTTGTTTAGTCTTTTTAAAGGAAGTTTAGACTCCTGAATGGACGCAGATACTGTTCTGTTCAGATTACACTGGTCCAGGGGCGTCGGTGGCTTAGGGGATAGAGCAGGCGCCCCATGTACAAGGCAGTTGCCGCAGCGGCCCGGGATCGAATCCAGCCTGTGGCCCTTTGCTGCATGTCATCCCCTCTCTCTCTCCCCCTTTCACACTTAACTGTCCTGTCCATTAAAGGCAAAAAATGCCCAAAAAACAATATCTTAAAAAAAAAAGATAACCCTGGTCCATGCGATGCAGAAAGCATCATTTGAGCTTTAATTGGACGTGACTTGGTACATTAAAACTTCTTAGTCTGAAAGTGTTTCCGTTTTATTGATGTAGAACATTAATTTCCCCCAGACTACAGATAAAGATTCACCTTCTGGCTTCATCACAGTTAAACATTTACATCATCAGTTACAGTCCTCATCTGTGATCTTTTTTTCTCCTGTAAACGTGAAACCTGAATATAAACCCCACTTGTTTATCACTCACACACTCTCAGAAGCAGTCAGGTTATTTTCTAGTTGACTTCCTCATCATGACGTTCTGTCACATGATGTGATCTCAAGTAAACAGAGTCTTTGCTTTCATATGTAAACCTCTTCAAATTCACCAGGTTCTACTGAGCTAACGTTAATCCTAACCAGCTTAGCATTGCCTATTAAAATATAACTTTAAATGTT